AAAAAAAAAAAAAAAAAAAAAAAAAAAAAAAAAAAAAAAAAAAAAAAAGAAAGAAAGAAAGAAAGAAAGAAAGAAAGAAAGAGGTATTGTAATTTAGCGAGGTTTTTCGTAATTTGTACGCAACTTCCCAATGCAAGGGAAATGTTGGGGTGTACCTGGGGGTATTGAAAAACAATAGTGAGGCTTTGTAATTTGTAGGCAGGTCTGCAATGCTTGGGAAAGGTTGTTGCATCTGAAAGGTGAAGCGAAGCACCACTAGGATTACCACCACTAGGATTACCACCACCAGGATAGAGAGCTTACACAAGGACCATTCTTGCAAAAAAAAAAAAAAAAAAAAAAAAAGGATAACCGTGGCAATTGTTCAGATAAAACACCGTAGGGGGGGGGGAAAGAAAAGAAAAAAAAAAAAGAGAGAAAAACATCCGCAGGATGTGCCCAGTGCCAAGTAATGTTCAAAAGATGTTCGTGAAGGTCGCTTAAACCACCAGTACTTCCTCAAGTTGTTGTGCCCGTTAACAAGCCACGATTTAGGAAATGTACGGGCCACTACAGGAGCGCCCAAATTCATCCGACTAGAAACCTTTCTGCTCCACAATGTTAGGAAATGTACGTGCCACTACAGGAGCGCCCAAATTCATCCGACTAGAAACGTTTCTGCTCTATTTTTTTTCTGCGGCTGATAGCTGGGCCAAGTACTGGTGGTTTAAGCCACCAGAGCGTCTCCCAGCCATTGCGCTGCGGCTGATCGTATGTACCAGGGTGACAAACAGGGTGCCAATCGGCGGAAAATACATCCCGCCAAATTGTGTCACATGAACGACCCGTTTTGCGTGGATGGAGTTTTTGCCAAGCGACACCCCGATACATCCCGCCAGAAGTGGCACACATGCAGCCTCGTCGTAGAAAAATGCTTGGGAGACGTTCTGGTGGTTTAAGGCAAAAGTAAATCCAGCTATGGGCCGTGGGCACCCGTCAGAGTCGGGTAGGCGATGCAGGCCACCAATTTTTTTTAGCTCATGCTTTCTGACGTTTGCATCAGACATTTTTTTCTTCAACCAAGCAGGGTTATATCCTGGTTAAACCACCAGCACCTTTCCCATATATCGGCCGAAGCTGTGTAACTGCGTGTTCGGCCGAACACCCGAACATGTTCGGACGTTCGGAAAAACTCCAAACATGTTCGGTGTGCTACACAGATAAAAATTATGGGGTTGTAGATCTTACAAAGATCTACAACCATATATTTTTATTTTATTTTTTGATTATTTTTCACCTGAGAAAAAACTGTTCCCACGCCCTCGCAAACCCTGCTCAAGTGGCTTTGAGCGCAGGATGTTCGGCCGAACATATTCCAAAAAAAAAAAAAAAAAAAAAAAAAAA